CGTGGCAGGAGGAGCCGGGATCGAACCAACAACCTTCCGATTGGGGGACGACCCGCTCTGCCTCTGACCCACAGCCGCCCTGTTCTGTTGCTGTCTGCTGCACCTCCCCTAATTTACTGAAAAACGGTTGCTGATTTTTGTGTTTTGAAAAGAAATTAGACCTAAGTAACGAGCAACCATGTTGTGAGAGTCAAAGTGATTGTATGTAAGTAATTTTCAACTACTTCTCTTGTCCCCTATATTTACAGCCACCACCCAAAAGGCAACTAGGGGACAGTGAGAGGGCTAACAGTGAGTAAGTCTGTGAATACATGTCAGAATTTATGAACACACAAATAAATACAACAATTAATGATGGTGTTCTTCTCTACTACTTGATCCAAAAGGTGTTTCACATAAAAAGTCAGATGCTATTTGGAGCAGCAGAGGAGTGTTTGTCTTCACACACCTGGCTCTCTCGCTGGCATCTGTGCGGTGGACGTTACTCAGCTGGCCGAGGCAGAAGCGGTCCCCTCCTGAGGGGTCAACATAACCATCCACGGTTACTATGGGGCAGCTGGAGGGCACCTTGAACATCTCACCCACCTGAACGTCCATTTCAAAGTAAGAGATAGAGCACCAAAACTCCGGTCCTGCAATGGAAACAGAAACTGTGTGATTTACTGCAGCATTACTGTGAAAAACACAGCGTATTTATTGAACAGACCCTGGAGTGGCAGGTCTCATGTCAAGAAACAAGTGAAATAGCAAGTGTTTCCAGGGTGTGACTCTCCTCATTGCATATACATTTAAAGGGATAGTTTGGGGTTTTTGAAGTGGGGTTGTATGAAGTACCTATCCACAGTCAGTGTGTTACCTCCTGTAGACGAAGGTCAATGTGCCCCCAGTTTGGAGAAGCAGACAGGAGTCCTCACATTTTCAGTGTTCTGACAGTAGTAAATGAGAGATAATCTGTGATAAAATCAGGTTCCTCTGACTCGTTCTAGATCCAGTGTTTGGAGTGTCTGTTCTGGGCTACTGCAGAAATATGGCACTTCAACATGGTGGACTCCATAGTGCACAAGCTCTACCATCCCCATTTTCTACAGAAATGTCAACCCACTGTCAGCATAGACAACCAGGATGCAAATACTGATGAAACTGTGTGAATACTGTAAGCTCATATTCACGAAGCCCCGTGCAGCCCCACACTTCCTTATGACAATACAAAGCAATGCCAGTCCAAAAACAAAGCAGGAAATCAGTGGCAACATTATCAGTTAAATGTCTTGATAGTCATAACACAGTTAAGATCACTTGTGACAGTGTAATCTAACCTGGGTGATTGGACACAGAAGGAGGGAAAGAGGTTGGGCCATGATGCTGAGACCCTGAAAACCACAGAGAGTATGAGAGGATTAGTCTGAAGCAAAAAACAACTGAAGCAGTACTTTGTGATTTAAACGAATGTGGCATACTTTTCTCAAAATCACTCAATGGGACAAACAAAGTTGACTTATTGAGAGCAACACATAGAGTGTACCTATATAGACCACAGCAATCCCACATTTATACAGCCATTATACAGTATTCATGATCAAAGTTATTTGATGATAACATTTTCATGAGATCCTCAAGTCTGACAATAAGAGAATGAAAGTGAATTTCGTGGAATTCCTTTGTTTAGAAGAGACGGTGGTTTTGAAGTGTAACTTACAGTGGTGGTTTGGATGATGCAGGGGAGGTTGTTGGTGGCCACGCCCGTTCTGCTGGGGTCCTATGGGAGTGTAAGAGGCTGTGCTGCTGCCTGTCCAAACTGCTGAATTACAGGAAAATGAAGAATGATCAGTGTGACCACATGCAGTGTTTGTCAAATACTCTGCAATCCCTCAGTATACTATTGCTCATTCTTTAACCACATGAAAACACACCAAACATTTAGTGTCTCTTTATACAGGAAACAAAAGCCTACTCCTTGTGATGGGGGTATCAAATATTTATGAGTCACCATTCAGTGAGGCCATAGACTGCCAGGGGCAGTTATGTACTGATCTGTAAGTAATGCTTGACAGAATTACCCCTCATTTCAGAAATTGTATCTAAATATACATACTTCCAATGTCCAATATTTACTTAATAAAAAGTAACCAAAATGTCTCCTTACCTTAGTGTGATTTTTTTTTTACATTTGACATGGTACTGAATATTAACAAAGACTAAATTTTACTTAATAACTTTCTACATCATGAAATGAATTCAGCTCAATTTTGATCACTGGCTATGAGATGCAATTGTCTCCAGATGAATCAATTTAAAACAGTGAGCTCTAGGAATAACTCATAAGCCAGTTTTGAATTCACTGTTTAGATCTTGGTGGTTTTTAACTCTATATTTAATTGGGCTCTCAGTAGAAACATTCTAAACGATGAACACTGAAGGAATCCTAACCAGGAGAAGCTGACTGCAATGACATCAATGTAAGTGAAGAACTCCCATGGCCCCAAGCTACCTCACCAAGACACCAAAGTTCGTCTTTTGTTTTTATGTGAGAGGCCCTTAGTGGCAGAAACTGCATACTGTACATTTAAATCTATTTGTCTTGCGCACAACTTATACTATTGGCTTACTAAAAAGTAAATCTGTCAATAATTATTTGTTTTCCCTGTTCATGAGAAAGAATAACTTAGTCTAGAAAAATAGAAAAACCTGTAAAATGTGACGCAGTCCAGCACTGCAGCTCTGAAATGCTGCTTTTATGAAGATGATCTTAGTGTCACAGTGTTGAGTTAAGTCTATGTTTGAAAGGATGTGAAAAAATATACAATACATAACCTATTAGGTAATTATCATAGTTCATAGCTATGCTTTTCATTATGAATTATTATGCGTTATTAGGCAGTTGTTTAAGTCCCCCCTCCCCTGGAAAGCAAAACAAAATACTGATACTGAAGTGTACCCACGTATGTTCCTATGTGTGTGTGAACTCACTGTGGAAGGCCGCCTGGCTCTGGGAGTGTTTATTGCTGCTGTATCCGTTCTGTCCGTGCGAGTGAGAAGGAGGTAGGGATGGTTGCTGTGGGTGGGGGGGTTGTGAGGGTTGCTGGGCAGCCTGTTGCTGAGTAGTGGTCTGGGTTGGGGTCTGAGGTCGTGGTGCCGGCGTCATGACTTGAGCCTGCGGAGATGCGGTTTGGAGACGGCCATCCCCGTGAGCGCCCTGCAGTGGCAGCATGGCGCCAGAGGCGGACACTGGAAGGATAATGGAGGAAAACATCTGGCCTGACTTGTGTTTGAAAGCCCAAATTCATATAAAGTAGCTCATTACTCATCTGAGTCAAGAGAGCTTTCACCAACCATAATGAACACAAACATCAGATCGTGAAGAACTGACCTTTGGGTGAGACAGGCAGGTTAGTGTATCTGGTGACAGGTGGGGGTCCATGGGGTTCAGAAGACAGCTGTGGGGGAGGCAAGGGCTGGCCGTAGTGGTCCGGAGGAGGCAGCTTCAGGGCCGCTTGGTGGTCAGACAGGGGCATGCCAGGTGGGAGGTCCATCTGTATACAGTCATGGATGTATTCCTCTTTGATCAGGCCGCCTGGTGCTGCAGCAGGAGGCAGAAGGAGGCGAGGTCAGGAGGAAGAATCACTACGGTGTGTTGCATCTAAAAGCTCCATGACAGTGATATTAGTGTGGGACACAGAGTTGATACCAAACTAAATCAGACCATCAGAGAATGGCAATACAAACAGGCAGCCCCTGGATATCAATCTCAATTAGCATTTAAACTGTTTAATAAGGAAGTGAGGACCTGAGCACTTTTGTCTTTGTTTAACACTTACTTAACATGCATGGAATCTGTTTTTTGAGCACAATCTGAGCTACAGGTCTGACTTATCATTTAACTATAAAGCTGCCAGAAACCCAAAAAGAAAGAAAAATGACACAGGTGCCTATAAAAATGTACAAATATTACGTTCACCACAGGCTGCACAATTAATCCAACATTAATCGCAATCACGATTTCTGCTGCCCACAGTGAAACGAACGTGATCGTCTACAATACTGACGTTTCAAATGCGGCTCATAGAAAACTGCTGCATATCAAATCAAGCGCTTCCTAAACTGCCAGACATCACGGGTGATCAAGATGTTCTGGTTTGACTTTTGGGGAGCTGTCCTGATGCTGCTTGTTCGACCTTGCAGCTGCAGCTGGATACTTTTATTCCTGGAAAAAATGTCCTACTCCTGCAGCTTTAAAGAATAAATGCTGTGTAACTGTGAAATATTTGAGATCTCAATATTGATCAAAATAACTGATAATGATAATAATTTTGGCCATAATCGTGCAGTCCTACGTCCATCCCTCTCCTCAACCTGCAGATGTTGCGTTGACTCTGATTTCATTCACATGCTATATGTAATGTGCTTCTTAATTTATGGTTTATTAAACATTTTTGTTTAAATGTTAACTTCTTTGTGAATAATTTATTATACTATTTCATTAACTCTGTGCTACTGTAGTCTTTGTGTTATGACAGCATTCAGTTTGCTTTTGTTGCTCCCTTCAGCTTGTGCATGCTCTCTTGGCAGCATTTTAACTTTTACAACTGAAAAAACAGCTGTAACTGTAGCAACTGCTACGCCTGCATTCAAACTGTTGACCATGAAATCCTGGCAATAACTGTTGCACAGGACGGTCAACATATTGGACAGTTTAATCACATGTTAACTGGGAATTGTAGTGGTACCACTGTTGTGCTGTAGAATGGAACTCACCAGTGTTTTGAAGGCTGAGACCAACTGCCAAAGAAGACAGAGAGAACATGAAATGAGACATTATACAGAATATGAAGCATCAGTAACATCCTCTCTTCATGTCCTAATCAGAGCAGCTGAAGTGTGAAGCTGACCTACCGATGCCTGGTGACACCACCCTCTCATAATGGTAGGGGTTGACGCACACGTTGTCGTACTTCAGGTCAAAGGCGTACTGGCAGAACTTGACATGCTTGAGTTCATTTTTGTGGAGGTCGGGCCAGCGCCACAGCCGTGCATAAATCACATGAGGGAAACCTTTCCTCCCCGCCACCTGAGGAGAGAGCACAGCATTGTTACACTTCCTACATGCTCACTCGATTTGCTCTTTTTAAAGCTACTTCATCCTCGCTCCATTTGTGTTCTATTTGTCCTACCTCTTATCCGTCAGTGGATTGTGTTTTTGCATGACATCACAGCTACTACAGTTACAATCTCTTTTAACCAAACCCAAACAAACCCTACCAAAAATATCAGGCTAACTCATCTCTGATGATAATAATAAAAAATAAACGATAATCTGCTCAAAATTCATCCAAATCGCTCATTTACATAAACTTCCTGCAGTTATTGTGTTCACTGTCTGCGTTCGTTTTACAGTTCATCAGTTGTTCTCTACTGTTATTGTTATGCACTGAATATAATATCCATAAAATATGTCACTTAGTCAGTTTACTCAATGATAAAGAAAGGGGTCCTTTCAAGTAAAAGGTTGGAAAGCACTGCTTTAGTATATATACAGTATATATATAACAGTCATAAACAAACTAAAACTATAAATTCCTGTATAATATGAAGGTGAAAGTAAGTGACATTAATACTGAACAGAAATCATGCACAGCGTCATGCACAGAAGGTAGAAAATAGACTAGTAGTGAAAGGGGTGATACAAAGTTAATGTATTTAACTTGTTAGTTGAAAGTAACCCTGCATCATATCAGAGGCAGTCTGACCTGCAGCCGTCCGTCCAGCGTCCTCTGGATGGTGACACACTTGCTGGGATGGACGCCGTTGGTGGTGACGGCGGTGATGAGTGAGTCCAGCTCGTCCTTCTTCTCCTTCAGCTTCTTCACCAGGCTCTCAATGGCCCGCTTGGCGAAGCCCTCGTTCTCTCCGCCCTGCCGGTGGCACATGAGGCTGTGAACGATGCTGAGGCAGGCATCATTGCTGCTTGGAGGGTTCACCGACATGATGCTGCTGCCACAGGACACAAGAGGAAGCCTTGTTATTCTTAATGCACACATATTATCCACTCTGGTCAACTCATACTGGCCCTTGATTGATACTCTGGTAGAAGAGTCTGAGCAACAAACACCGTTTTGGATGATCTCATTTGCTGGTGGAAATGTGGAAAGGTTTTCTGGGAAAATTGGCAATGTTTCCACAAAATGCATTTGTGCATCCCAGAACCTGCAGGTGTCCAGTTATCTCACCATACACATTTATTCTTTGCAAACCAAAACTGACTACATTACTGCATGATACAAATTTAGGTTGACTCAACTTTTCAAATGATCATTATGCTTTCACTTTGTCCTCTAACACCTCTTAGGTACACAAAAGGACAATGAAATGAAATTTTAGGGACGCACCGATTTATTGCCTGAACATCAGTATTGACTGATAGAAGTATACTAATGTCAGTATTTACCAATGTCAGCGGCCAATGTTAATCTGTTGTCACATCAGTTTTGGACCATTTTTTTCCAACTCGAATGTTGGAGGAATATTCCCCTCAGTTTTCCAGCACTGGCACAAATTACACACAAATACCGGTGCAGCCGCACGGACAGTGAGCGGTTGTTCAGCTCTGCGTCTCACACCTTGGATCAGAAGAGAAACGGACTGAGGCAGAGACGCTTATGTTCATAGATTTCTTTTTGTCCCTGGCACAATAGGGCGAATTAATAACAACAAAAACACGTGAATGAGCACTGGCTATCTGACAAATTGTTATTTTAAACACTGATATCGGCCACAAATCTCCCAATCAGTGCATTTAGTACTTAATAATACCAATACAGTTCCAACAATGACATTGAAACATGTTTTATTTTCAGGAGATGTTCCTCACTTTCTGACTGTAACAAATTAAATCTTGCTAATGTTGCTGTAACTGTTGGACACTTTGTCCTTTGTCGACATCTGACATTGTAACAGAAACTAAGGAAAAGCATAATAGGTCTCCTTTAAATAACAAGTTGTTCCTTCATTTTCCAACTCTGGATTCCCAATTGAATGTGAAAAGAACAAATGATACATGGATTGTTGCTGCCTGTAGTCATTTTACAGATCACTGATGTCAAATTCAAATTCAAGTTTGATGAACAGGAGCCAAACTTGCCAACAGAAATCAGATATCAATTCATTTCCTAATTGTTCTAATAATCTGTTTATTCAGGTAATCAGTTTAATGCATGTTACTCTTTATCGCCACAACAAAAAATGTTTACTACCAAACTGAGAGTTGCAAACAGCATGACTTTAGAAAATCCACCAGAGCATATAGTCATCCTCTGTTACCATGTCTCCTCAGAGAAGAGACACACCCTGCAAACAGAGACCCCTCCAGCGTCTGTACCATAAATACAATATTTGTGTTTTGGGGCACAATGTATCACATCTGCACCTGAAAAACAGGCTCACTTAATCTGATGGCAAAGGGGATAATACAGTCAAGCAAGACACTGATTTATTCCATGTGGAGGTTTTACTTGGTCGTACAGCACTGCTGACCTTCTCACAAGGACTGCAGTTGCAATATAAGGCAAACCAGCATTCAAACAAAGCCCTTGAGATTATACTTTGGATGGTAAATGGCACTTTATATTTTGTCTGGCATGTTCCAGTGCAGTAGGGCAGGTAGAAAACAAATCAAACATGCAACCAGGCTACTGTACACACTGAAAAACCTGCTGGGTTAACTTTATCCAGTACCAACGGGGTGGTTTCTACCCACTGTTGTGCTATATTGACCCCACACCAACTTTACTACTACAGGTTTGTTTTACAAGTAACCGGTTTATAGATACATTTTTAAAAAGCCAGTTTAAGTTAAATTGTCATCAGATGATAACTGATGGGTCTGCCTCGTTTCCTCTTCACACGAACTGGTTACCTGCATGCAACCAAAGATCGCTCTAACATGATTGGTCGATACTACTCTAAAGTTCTATTTAAGACTTCGTCGGACCTTTTTAAGACCACTATGAATGCAATTTAAGACAAAGATAAAAACAAAAATGTACAAATGCTATGAAGGAAAATCAGTCGGTCAGTTTGATGAATGATGAATACAATTTGCCCGAAAACACATTTAAAAGTGAGATTGAAAAATGCAACTTTATACAAGTAACATTTTTTAAGACCTGTTAAGAATTAGAAGACCTTAAATTCAGATTAATGGTGTAGGAGCCATCAATTTGTTCTGTGTTGCTCCGAGCTAAAGGTGGCGTGCTGCGTTGCATTGTGTTTGAAGACTGAGGCTGGCCTCAGGTGATTTAAGTTCCTGTCAGTTATGTCTCAGGTGTTGTTAAATTGGGAAGAGGAGCAAATAATGTTTGGACAGTTTAGATTACGTTGCTGTAATTGAGTGTTACTCTGGAGGACATATGTAAATATCAGTTTTAATTTGCTGAGTATTGGTAAAGACTGGACATTGCTTTTCTGAGTAAATGTTACAAACTATTAGCCCAATTAGCAGCCAGTAGCTGCTCAAGTACAGGACACAGTCGCTACAAATGGACCTGGACTACAAACTGAGACATGAATGCTTCTGATAGCGAAATCTTGTCAAATGCCTACAGATCGGATGTTACATCTCACTCAGGACACTTTAAGTTTAAAAGTCCCATTTTCAGTCTCCTTTTCAAGTTGAGATTGCACGTTCTCTGCAATCTCATTTTCAAGAGAAGGCCTAAAAATGCTCAGAAGAATTGAAATATGAACATGTATTAATCCATGACAGTGGACAACTCCATCTGCTGAGGAAGACCATGGTATGAGGTGAGACTGTTGTATCAACTCTTCACAGCATGTCCACCCGTCCATCCATCTATCTGGCAACATTATACTCGTCTTATCTTATCTTGGTGAAGATTTTATGTCAGTTTCACTGACCATTAGCTGATTGAGTGGCCAACCAGTCAACAGCAACATCAATGATACAACAATTATCTAGTTACACTATAGTTACTACAGAAACCCATGTTCAGCCCTGGTTGGGAACAGCTACAGTAGATTCACCCATTCAGAAGGCTCACTGTGTTGGTATATAAGGCATGTTAGCCACCTTGCTCTTAGTTCTGCTAATCTGACATTATTAAAGTCAATGAGAGCCACTTGGTGTTGCTGTCATACATGTTTGCTGTCTTGCTTACCTGGTATTAAGTTGGTCAGCCAATGAGTGACCAGAAAGTTCACTGGCATCATGATGGCCCAGCTCTGAATCAGTCCCTGTTAGTAGAGCGGGGAGACCAGGAATTAGTGGATGCCAGTTAAGTGTGCAAATCCAACCCCCAATCCCGTGCTAAACCCGTACAAGTTCTAACCCCACAGTAATCCATTCCAAGTAAAACTCTCATTGAAAGTGTTAACTTGTGAGAGACAAATTAATAACAGAATGGTCAAAATCAAAGCAGCGGTAAAAGCCAAGCTCCATAAACACAGACTCCTGCCATATCTCATACTCAGGGTTCCCACTGTTTGGAACAAATTATTTCCAAGGACATTTTCCAGGAGGTAGTAGGGCTGCATGATAAAGTCAGATTGCAGACATATGTGTATCATATCAGTACTGGCGTATATGTTATCCAATATGCACCGATATGAAAGCAGTTTTTTTCTGTTATATAATGTAGTTGTGGTAAAATTTGGTCACTGCAAAGTTTATTGTGCCAAAATACTGTGGCAAGCAGCAAAGAGAGAAGGAGCCAGGATCGGTCTTAAAAACCAGGGGCCCGACCCATATCAGTACTGACACATATAAACCTGAAGCCACCAGTGCTCATCCACTGAGA